CCCCAAAACCCCAAACCCCAAAACCCCAAAACCCCGCAGAACATAAATTATAAGTATTAAATTAAGAAAATATTATTTTTCGATTATGTGTTTTCATGCTTGGGTCTGTGAATCAAAGTTCTGCTTAGATTCTTCTTCTTAGTTATTGATAAGTTAGGTTTCGCTCTATGGATCATGAGGTATCAATAAATGGAGTCTATCCTCTGTGTATTCGATGTCATAAATGATTTACCTAGCAAATTCCTCTGGATTGTCCATATACATATGATGATCAGAGTCATTTACGACGTAAACAAAGTTTAGCTTTGAGCCGTACTTGCTATTCTCTACAATTTTTTATCCAGGCTCTACATCCATCCAATCTCTATCTCCGTACCAAAAGCTCATAGGCAGATTTAAATTTTTGTTTCCAAGACGTTCTTCAGCTTCGAGAGGATTTATTGCATACATGCCTAGATGAAAACAAATAAATATTGCATATTCTGACGAACCCTCCTTCATAAATATCTGGTGCATATAGTTAAGCATTGCATCGAATTCTTCTGGAGGAAGCATTCCCATTCTCTTGCCTAGATATCCTTTTATGATTCTCTTCCCTAATAATGACCCAGATTTTCTCATTACTCCAAAAGGAGACCATTTTTATCTCCAGACTGTCCCTGCCAAACCTCTAACCCATTTTGGAGGGCCTTGTCCCTTTTTAAACTATTTTTTTGTGATATCAAAATCATTTGGCTTTTCAGGCACTCCAACTGCGCTTAGCATTAATAACTTTCTGATATTTTAAGGATATCTGGAAGCATAGTGTCCGCAAATATATCCACCAAATGAATGACCAGCTAGGTAAAAATCCTTAAGGTCACCCATTGCTATTCTCCAGTTTTCTATGAAGTCAACAAAAAATTAATCGCCCTCAACTGCGTCTTTTGCTGTAAATTCGGGTCGACTACTTGCCCCCATTCCGAGGATATCAACCAGAATCACATGAAACTTTTCAGAGAGAGGTTTCAGAATTTTGTAGAAAATTATACCTGATGCTCCATACCCATGGAACATGACTAGTTTAATTTTAGACCTATCACCAATGTGAATGGTCCGAGCGTAGTTACCGAAATCATCAACAACCACATTTTCAATGAAGATGTTGTCATAATCCAATCCACTGTAAGAGAGGACTTTCCTCTCAGTTTCTTGTAGCTCAGCTTCGCTAATACCCTTCCACGTATTACCCATTTATCAAAAATTTTCTAAATTATGATTGACTAATGAAATTAATCCAATTATATTTTGATCTTTGATTGCCTTAACATACATATATTTAATCAAGTGGGGTTTTGGGGTTTTGGGGTTTTGGGG